TATTTATCTCATTAAAATTAAGATCAAAGAATGCTTAATATCATATCGAATGTTTTTCTTTACTCTAACAAAAATTGTCTATTTAAAATCATCGCAGAGGTAATTTTGTTTGTTTGTAGTTGTAAACTAGACTCTATGCGGGCGGAGAAGTGAGAAAAAATGTCATTTCATACCATTTTATATCTATGCAAGCTTTAAATGTGAGAAAATATTACACATAAAAATATTAATTAGATTAAAAATAATTGACATTAGCACAAAAGCTTGGGTGCCTTTTTTGGTATCGAGGGAATATTTGACATCTTCGAGAGATAACAATAAAAAATCTTGGCGGCCAGTATCGAAAGTTAAAAAATATTTTTTTTGCGTTTTTGTAATAAAATAATTATAATTTTACTATTTGTTTAGTAAACGTGGCTTTAGTAATTTAACTATTAGTAGACAAGTTCTCACGCTGCTAGTCGCCGAGACTTCAGTGAGCGGCAGCGCCTCCGTTTCCCTTTCGTAATTCACAGAGAGTTGTTAAATGACAGCCACGCGTGTCCATTGTAGAACTAGATACGATAGAACAATTCTCGGTAAATGTAAATGTAATTTTAAGGCTAGCGCCATCGGAGGGCATGTTTCAATTATTTTTTTTTTTTCATAATTTAATGGGAAAATTCTGTTCGTGTTTTTTTATTTACTTTTTATACTCATATGACATTTTACAATTCAATCAGGTATACATGATTAAACAGTCACTATTTTTATCGCCAGACCGAGGCAGCAGAGTTCCGTAGCAATTGGATATTTGGGTGCAACTGATGCCTGAGCAAAGTGCTTATAATACCTCAGTTTCTGTTTTTTACAGTGGTAGAGCCCGCTTTAACATCTTGGCTTGGCTTGGTTTGGCTTTAACATCAATGGGCCGGCTCGCCCGGTGTAATACCACGACCACGCAGAAAACAGGCGTGGCGTGGAAGCAATTTCGCGTTTCGTCTGATGAGTGTGGTTCCGGAGGCCTAATTTTAATGCCTTTCCTTTTCCACCCTTTTCTTAAGAGGAAAGAATGGGAAGGAAAAGTGGATCACGGTGGAGGAGACGCATAGGAAGTGAAAATTTCCTCTTTATATGCGTCTCCTCCTACGTCAATTAAGGGTAGGCAACGCATCTGCAATTGCGGATGTTTATGTGCAGTAGACTCTTTCGTTTTCAGTGGATTCAGGCCGCTTGCTCGTTTGTCACCTTGTATTATATAAAAAAAAAATTAACTTATGTTTTATGTTATGTGCATCTATGTACATGTAGTTACAATACGGCTTATCTATTTTTATAATACTTTAGTTTTCTTTAAATATTAAAAACGGCTTTGCTTATTTTCGGCTACAATAAAACTGGTAGTCCAATGGAAACGCGTATCACTCCAGCTGCAGACTTGGCGCAACCCATTGTTGTCAGCTTGCAACAGTTCGCAGCAAACTGTCTTTACTTTGTGAAACAATATACCGAACCTCATGAAACTATTTAGCAAGTCATATATGATCGATTTTAATATATTTTTCGTATTGTATACCTTTAAGTTGAAATCAAAATTATATACGAGTGAGAACAAATTACAATCGGCGGGATCATCTTTTCATGGCAACATGTGTAGATAAGACAAGAATATTGTTACGCTTAAATCTGTGTTGCGTCACATCGTAAAATTTTCACCAATACATCCCACGCGATCCTTATCACAAGACAATACAATTTTCTTAAGCAACCTATTGTATTGTAAACAAATAAGTCAATTTTATATTTTCCCAGATAACGCCCATTGCTAATATTTGTGTAATATATTTATGAAACTATACTGTACTAGCAAATTTTCACACCTAATGAATTATTAGAATATAGTGTAACTAGCTTTCGCCCGGGACTCTGTCCACGTGGAATTAAAAAAAACAAAAGTGAGTAGCCTATGTGTTCTTCCAGATTATGCTCTGCGTCTATGCCAAATTTCATTGAGATCCATTCAGCCGTTTAGGCTACAAACTCTAACAAACATCCGTCCGTCCACCGATCCATCTAAACTTTCGCATTTACAATATTAGTTAGATTAGTTAGATAGGTCAAAAGCAAACTAAATACTTGGGAGAAAGAGAATTAGGGAAGAATAGAATTATGGAACTCGAAATGGAGACTTCATCTAATTCTTCTACCTGCTTACAAGGGATGAAGTTTAAACTAATCTTACTAATTTTATAAATATGAAAGTTTAGGTGGATGGTTAGATGTTTGTTAAAGTTAATAACATAACATCTATAGCATAGATATAGAGGATAGTCTGGAAAAACACATAGGCTATTCACTTTTATTTTTTCAATTCTACGCGGACGGAATCGCGGGCGAAAGCTAGTTTATAATAGTTTGAAGGAATTGTAACATTCACAAAGTTACCTGCCGCCTTTATTAAGACGCCTTAGAGACTGTAAATGGTATACAATATATTTAAAACTATCCAAAGGTCTCTAAATATGTAATTCATTGTGAGATTCTATAGAATCTTAGTCCGGAAGTGACGACGCGATACAATAGAAAAGTAAAATTGTATTACAGTTTTGTCACTTCCGGATTTCGTAATAGGTAATCCTTTGCCAAATGATACTGTATAGATAGTAATCTTTATTACCTTAGCATTGTAATATTAATTGGATTTTCTAAATATCTAACTGATATTATAAATGCGATTGTTTGTTAGTGTGTATATACTGCTGTTTGTATCTCGATAAAACGTACAGATGTAGAGGATATTTTGGAAGACAAATAGGTTACTTACTTATGTTTTATTTTAAACTCTATGCGGAGGAAGTTGCAGGCGAAAGCTAGTAAGACAAATATGGCTTAAATATAATATAACGCCATCTATCGTTATTTCAAGGTTATCTAAAACATAGCGGCATTACTTCCTTGGTAAAACTTATACTAAATTAAATACGAGCTAGGTTTTTTACGTTTTCACAAAAGGAATCATTATCAACATCCACGCATTTTAGTCTCAAGGGCTAAAAATGTTAAAATATTTGTTTTTTCCATACTCATAACCCTGACCTGCATCCCACAAACATTCGTAAGTTGAGCGGACAAATAGTTCTACCTTCATCTGATTTAATATATTTGAAGACAATTATGAAAGCTTTTCAAATCATCTCAAGTTGGTATAAACAAATAGAATAAGGGATAGTACGTATAATGGCCACCATTTATAGATTTCGATGTCTGTTAATTTAATTTCGTCTTTGTAAAACGGTACATGGTTGACTATGCCCGTCACCCTCTATTAGGGTAGGCTCCGAGCCCCTCGGTGGGGACGTATAGTAAGCTGGTGATGATGACGATGAAGATGAAAACGGTACATGGGCAATAAAACTCTACGTTAAAAATCGTATAAGATTTGATTACTCTATTTTATTATTTTATGCAAAGTACAATTTAAAACCTGCTACACGCGATCAGTTTATTAATGTGTAGGTAACATTTTAACTGTCAGTTATACTGTACAGTTTTGCACGGTAGTTATTGTACAGATCGATTGGTTCACTAATCAAATGTTTGTAGAAATCCTGTTCTAAGCTTCCAAAGATGCGCAATTTAGTAAAACGTCGCCTTAATTAAATTCGATTAAAAACTAACTAATCAACGTCTTGCAAAAAGCTTCGAGTTAACGGAAGATAAAGCACTTGTGTATCAAATAAAGCACTTCGATTTTTTTACTTTTGTCGTAGTATTGCAGATATATGACGCTTTTTACAGAATTAGGCATATTTTTAAATAAAAAATCTATCGAGAAAAGTTTGTCCAATCGTGATTCTTTTATACAAGACTTTAGTTAAAGGACTGAAGTTACACATACTAAAATATCACGAATCAAATCTTTCTAGAAATCCTGTTTTAAGCTGCCAAAGTTGCACAATATAAAACGGCGCTTTAAAACTGAACGTTGTGGGCTTCGGTAAATATCCTCCCAGTCATAGAGTAAACATTGTCGAAGTCTAACGCAATATAACATTGTAAGCTACTAATGTGGTTTAGGTTGAATATCGTAAATGTCATTAAAGTTTTCTTAAATTATTTTACGAAGGTCAAAAAACAATTGTATGGTGAAAATCTAATGAGTAATGAAGTAGACCTTGTTACAAATTACTTGAACACATCTGCCGTTCACTTAATGGTTTTACGTTCACTAATGTCTTATTTTTACTTCTTACTAATATTATAAATGCGAAAGTTTAGATGGATGGATGTTTGTTAGAGTTTGTAGACTAAAAGGCTGACCGAATCTCGATGAAATTCGGTATAGTCAAAGAATAGTACTTACTTTTGTTTTTTTAATTCCACGGGGACGGATTCGTGGGCGAAAATCAGTTGAGAGCATTTTTTTTAAATGTTGATTTAAAAAAATAAAAATGGACTTGAGTTAGCTATTTGTAATCATTTTTTCAAATCTACTGTCTTTGTTTTTTAACTGTTGCTAATCTTCCTATTGTAAATGCGAAAGTTTAGATGGATTTTTGTTAGTTTGTGGTCTAAAATGCTGAACGGATTTCGACGAAATTTGTCATAGATTTAAAGGATAGTGTAGTACATATCTGGTTACTTTTATTTTAATTCCACGCAGACGGTGTCGGGCGAAAGCTATTAATAAAATTTACTTAAAAATGTATCGTCAGCCATTGTCCGGTCATTTTGTTAATTTATCAACTTAGCTGTTGCTCGCGACTTCGAAGGCTTTTAATTTAAAAAAAAAAAACTAGCCCATGTTGGGTATTCACCGATAATGTAAGTTTTTATTAGTCGAATGATTTATGGAATCAGTTTTAGTAGTCTGATTTTAATACATACAAAAATACAAATATTTGCATCTTAATATAGGAAATCTTTAAATATGGTATCTAAACATCACATTTTATATTTTTTTTAAAGTTGTAAAAAACCTTAGTAACATGAAAGGGGGTTTATGAATAAAAAATGCAAAATATATCACAATAAAAAAATTTATTATCTATATAACATAACATCGGACCATAACCGTAGAATGACTTACATTTTTGTATATCAGCTTGTATAACATGGCGCGTCGAATAGATCTTATAAATGTAAACATTTGGGTAAATATTCAACCTTATTTACTCAAATAGCACAAGCAGCGATATTAATCAAGATAATAAGTCCTTAAGACTGTAATTTTAATGACCGATTTATTTTCAAAAATCCATATTTTCAGCTAAAACGCAATTAATTTTGGAAACACAATACATGAGTGTTGAAAAAAGTCACATTTTAGAGGGCTTATTTAAAATTCTTGATAAGCGAAATTAAAAAAAAGGGTGATGAAAATCAGCAATACATTGAGCACAAAAAAGTATCAAAATATATAGTTTATGATGGAAGATCTATTTGGACTAAAAAAAAAGAAAACTCGAAATTTCTCTTTACAAGGTCGTTACATTTACATAAATAATCTGTAAAAACTAAACCCTTAGTTATATGTAAATATTTTCTGTATTTATGTTTAAATAAATGTATTATTGTGAAGATAAGTTTTGTATTACGAGACCAGTTTACGCCATTTTAGTGTTTACATGAAATCGTCGTAGTCGTCATCGAAGTTGCCATAAGCGTCGTATTGGTTGAGATGCGCCTGAAAAAAAAACTTGTTAAAAAATCTTACAAATAAATGAAAAATATGCTAAGAAGTAACTAAAAAACTATAGACTGAGATTTTGAAATTTAAACTATTTGTTAAACGTTTGGAAAGCCATCTTTTTGATAGTAGCCCTTGAATAGAATATTTTATTTATATACAGTATATTATGTAATTTTACACAAAAAAAACATCATAAAATTATCCTACACCACGACGACACTCTATATATGTTGTATTGTAAATTGTAACCAGCGCGCCCGCGGACAAACCAATTATATGGTTTTTGCGGGGCCATATTTGTGCTTATTTTTTAATTTGTGTCATGTAATATTTTCAATAAAAAAAAAATTAAAAGCTTTTAACTTTAATCATACTAATATCATAATGAGATGAGTCTGCAAAAAAAATTGCTAAAAGATATTGCAAAAAAAAAAAAAGAACTAAAAAACTATATAAATTTGTATAGATGTAGGTAGTCTGGAAGGGCAAAAAGACTTTTCGCTTTTGTTTTTTGTTACACGCGGACGGAGTCGCGGATTTTAAATAAAAAAAAAAACAGTTTGAAACATGAGAGTTTCAACCTGAAACCATATTACTGATAATTTAAACTGCCAAAAACATTTCTTTGCTACCATTACTTTTTATTGTAACTGAAATAAGTAAATTTTTTAAAGACTAGTTTTGTAAATAAGATATATCATAAAGTTAATTATAAAATATTAAAGTGCCTTAGGAAAAAATATAGAAGTCTTTCCCTAGACATATTTTCATTTCTCTAAGAGAGGGGGCTGCCCTCAAGCCCCCCCCCCTTGTGACGTAAAACTGCAAACTAAAAATTACTTACATTGTCACCTTCAACTTTTAATTTAGCCTTGCCCTTGCCCTTAGCGGGTTTCTTTGCCTTGTCGCTCTTCTCAGCTTTCTGTTTCTCGATGTAAAGGTTGTCCACCGTCATCTTTATCCTCTTTATGTCTGCTGACGACACTGAAAAATTAAAAAAATTAAACCAGTCACAAAAAAGAATCACCAAAAAGAATTATGAAAATCTTCTAATCTATGACAAGCTTTGTCCCGCGACTCCGTCCGCCTGGATTAAAAAAAAACATAAGTGAGTAGCCTGTATGTTCTTCCAGATTATCCTCTACATTTACATTTATACCAAATTTCATTGGTATAGATGTAGAGGATAATCTCTAACAAACATCCATCCATCCATCTAAACTTTCGCATTTATAATACTAGTATGAATATCACATAACTCTGAAAGAAAATTTCAAAGATCATACTGTAGTCCAAAAATCTAGAAATTACATAAAATAAAAATAATTTAACAATTATTAATGGAATATCACTATATACACATCCTATAGTCATCATACTTAAATATAAAAATAAAAATAAAGTGTATCAAAAATGACTTACTTTGTACAATAATGTTTTTAACAAGATCATCAACGAATCCAGGGAACTCCTCCTTGGCTTTGTATAGATTGATCTTTTTGCAGAGCAAATCCCCAAACTCGGCAAACTCCTCCTTACTTGTTGGGTGGAAACTGTCCAGCTTGCCGACAGCACCTTCGGAAACACCTGGAAACATACAATTATTGTTAACTAAAACCACATTCCCTTTATAACATAAAATATACCAAATGACAGAAAAAACTTCTTTAACACGGAATTTAAAAAATATTGCTCTGTATTACATTCCTGCATGCATCTACCTTCTATTTTCCAATCAAAGTTCTGTCAAAATACCTCTACCCATTACGAAGGTATCACACCAGTAAAATTATGAAAGTGCAAATTAAAAATAAAAGTAACCTATCATATCAATAATTGTAGTAAGTCTCATGACAATCGGCCCAGTCGTTTCAGAGAATTCCCAGAACAAACACCACTTGGGTACAGTCATACAGATTATTTTTTAATCCGGAATTGGTTATTACATCATCTTGGTGAAATCTGGATTTTTCTCTTAATATTACATATCATTGTTGAAGTTTTAGAACCATAGATGTCCAAAATAGCAACTTTTCAGGAGAAAAAAAATTGCATAACTTTGTAGATAAACTAATACATACATAAAAAAGTTACATTTAATGTAAAATAAGTGTTTCCTGGAGTGTGTAGGCGAGTAGGAGAGTTAAGTGTAGGCTGGAATGATGAATCTTAAGATTCTCTAGTGAATGGCATAAAAATGTTGATATAGCCAAAAAGTTACTTATAAGGTGAAGGGTTACTAGAACTTCAACAATAATATCCATTTTAAAATATGTATGAACAAATCTTACTAATATTAGTAAGATTATAAATGCGAAAGTTTAGATGGATGGATGTTTGTTAGCGTTTGTAGCCTAAACGGCTGAATGGATCTCCATGAAACTTCGCACAGATATAGAGCATAGTCTGGAAGAACACATAGGCTACTTTTTATCCCGGTTTATAGTTACGGTTCCCGTGGGATTCATTAATTTAGTTTTTTAATGTTTACTCAATCATTCTGCAACAGTCTTCAATCTCAATCTTATTGAAATTTAGCACAGATATAAAACAAAGTCTGGTGTACACATGGGAATAGGTTTAACCCCGAGAAATGTCCGGTTCCCGAGAGATACATAGCTTTTTGTTATTTACGTAGTTCGTATGTTTTCTAATACAACGCGGACGATGTCGCGGGCAACATCTAGTAAATTATGATGTATTAAGAATTTATATGTTACCAAAGGTCTCCATGGCAAGTCGCAGGTCCGATTCCTCTTGTAACTTCTGTTGCCGGAGCTTCTCGGCCAGTCTCTGTTCAGGTGTGAGCTCTTCTAATGCCTTCTCCGCTGCAAGGCGTTCAGCTTTCTCTTTTTCTAAGCGCTGAAATTATTTATATTAAACAAATTATTTTATCTGTTCAATTGCAGTTTTTACAAATGGTAGTTTACAAATACTTCACTATCACTTTAGTGTTACAATATTTATTGCATCAAAGAGAACATGAACATTTGTTAAGCAAATTCTGTATAGATCTAAATTGCATGGTGTCTTAAATCTTTAGTTATGTAATTTTATTTAAAAAGGATCTTTATTTCCTAATATACTTTTCTTCTATCAAAGTTATTTTACAATTTTATGGTATCATTTAACTACAATATTTTTCTTGACCAATATTTTTAAAGTTTATAATTAATTACAGAAATAAAACCTACATTTTGTTGTAAAATTAAAACAAAACATGTTTGATTACATTTAGAGGCTTATAATTATTAATTATAGAATTAATCCATATTTTTAGGTAGAATATTCAACATATTGCATATTGCCACACTTTAATTCAAGATATATCAATACTACTTTTGTACTGACCTTGTCATAATCTTAGTATGTGTAATATACATAATTAGAGAATTTTATAACGTTACCTCTTTTTCTGCTATTTTGTCTTGTATTTTCTTTTTAGGTTTTGGTTGAGATGGAGCAAGATCCTTTTTCTCTTCGTCTTTTTTTTCTTCTTCCTCATCCTCCCAACTTTCCTGCAAAATAAAATTGACGTCAACACGTAAGCAAGGTTGAGGTTATATCAACTAATCAAAGTGAAATTCATAGAAACATTTACACGCGCCAAATGACAAACTAAATAAACACTTGGCAGCTGTTTCTTACCTTTACGACCTCTTCCTCGTCCTCGCCTTCCCATTTGTTCGAAGACGTCAACGTGGTCGGCAATTTAGGCTCAAAGTTATCTGCGTCTAAAACAAAAGTTACCCTTTATTATCGTATTTCTAATTAAACCAAAAATTTCTACAATAATTAACACGTACCCCAAGACATATCGGGATCCATGGTTGTCGATTTTTTGTTAGCACCAATCCGATTTTGTTACCTTTTCACGTGAAGACAAAATCAGACAGAGGCAACTTGCTGGTTTTTTATCACAAGATGTCTCCAGGGTCGACTGAATTACAAACAACAATATACTCAAGCGGATTTTGTCAAACGAATGTGATATTTCTGCAATATCCGCGACCGAATTGAAAAACAACGCACATATGACATAATTTAGGCGAATATACGACAGAATTACAATCAGAACTTGTTGCGTAAAAATAAGACTCCATGGCAGACGATAATTTCTGATTCACTAAAATTTCAATATGGCGGAGTTTAGTGCAGTGTTGCCGTTGTCACATTGCCATAACACAAAATCCGTAAATGTTTCCAGATTTTTCCTTTTCAGGCAGTAGTTTGTTAATAAAATATACATACTCTTTGCGTTGTTTTCATTATTTTTCCCACTCTACCTATTTAAAATGGGAATAGGAAATTGAGTTGACGAGAAACATGAAAATAATATTACAAGACTTTTTCTTCATTTAACTTCGGATTTGATTTTACTATTTTCTTCATGAACTTTAAAATTAAACTAAACTAGAATTCATTAAAATAAATTCTTAGCTTCCTAGATTTTAAATTCCCCTTTTAAGATAACGTGTATAACATAAAGTCCTAATTCAATAATCATATTTTTAATATATCTGTTTCCTAATGGCCAAAAGGAAAATAGAAATATATACAGACGTGTACACCGAAAAAGATTTTGATTACATACTCAATAATTCTAAGGAAAATATTATTTGTAAGTTACATTTAAAAAATAAAGCGAAATGTTATTTGTGCAAACTACCATAAGGAAATATCTAACTTTCTGTTATGGTCAGTTCGACAAGGTGTATGAATTGACACGTCAGACTAAAGAGAACTCTTATTAGTAGTATGCCAAATGAAGTGTTGAGTATTATAAGATATTTATTTTCCTCCAGGTGCACAAATATATTGCAGTTATTTTGGTTATTGCACCGCACTTGATCATCTTTTCATGAAAATGAAATTAGATTGGAGTGACGGGCAGGCGGTTCTTCTAAGAGTAAGTTTTTTTTTAAACGACCATAACAAAGAACTGTTTAGTCTATTTTGGTTTGCTACAGATTATAAACAATCCTGTTCTAAGAAATAATCGCTGGCGCGAATTAGCATAGTCTCGGCTCCTATTCCGCAACTCAGCACTTGTGGGTAATCACTGCCACTTGTACAAATGTTGTTGTCCCTATTTTTTCAATGTGTAAGTGAAGGATGACAATATGCGTTTATAAAAGTGTTAATGCAGTCGACATCCACATTAACATTGTTATATTTTTCTTGGTATTCGTAACTTGATAGTTAATAGGCTGAACTTACCATGTATTATTAAAAATTGTTAGAGTTAAATTAATCGTATTATTAATTTTATATGTGTAAAAGTTTCGATGGATGTATGTTATTGCGTATACGGCGTAACGGATCTCGAAGAACACTGATGCATAACAATTTGAAAGAAGACATAGACAATTTACTATTTTTTTTATTCTGCGCAGATGAAGTCGCTGACCAAAGCTAGTTAATTAAGATGTTCGGTGTTAACATGCAATAAGGGATGATACGCAATTCTTTAATACTGGCCTATTTACAGCTTTTGAAAGATTGAAAGGGAACAGAGGATATCTGAATAGTACTTTATATTTCTTTTCATTACAGGTGGCGGTCGATGAAATCGATTCATTAGACCGATTTAAGGGTCAAAGTGAACCTGTATTTTTATTTATTCTGGTTAGTTATAGGTGAAGTTTTAACTTTTGCTATTGAGACATGCCAGTCTATTCCTGTTTCTACATTTTCAGAATAGAAGAGTAATAAATGTATTTCGCGGCGTTGATTATGTTACATTCGGAGAGGTCGCGAAGAAAGAGATCGAATATTTTAAACAATTTAAAGAAGGTTGCCATATTGAAAGACAAACGTATGCTATAGATGAGGCAACACCCAATGAAGTTGTAGGTATCTTTTTACTATTAATAATTTTATGGAAATAAATTAAAGTAACAAATCTCCATTTAGGAATGGTTGAATGCTCGTAAAACAGAGAGAGAGGAAGCAATAGCGACCGCGTTAACCCTAAAGGCGTCACGCCAAGAAGCTCGTAAGAAGCACCGGGCTGAGCTGATGGTGCCTCACTTACGGCATCTTAATTTCGTGCTGTACTGGCCTCATATGACACACGCCCATCCTGAACTCTACGAGCGATGGGATCCTCACAGTTGAGTCAGAAAATACGTAATACTTTCGAAACAAGATAATAAGCATGTGGTAGCTTGTCTTCAGCACTGCAACTTCCTGTTAGACTGTTTGGATAACACGCAATCTAGTATTCTATAGATTATGGATATCTTAACCTTTTGATATCTTTTTAAAAGCATTGGAAAGGTAACTTCATCATCTTTCTGCAGGCTGTACTATCTTTGAGACTTTACAGATATAATAATGGTCGGTCGGGAGGAGATACATCTGACAAAGGAGCTGGCGGAGGACGTGCTGTACGCTGGGGATGCTCCCGTCAACGAAGCCTCTATGCACGAACTGCTGTCAGCACCGGCACTGGCGATTTGTTTTAGAATATTGGATAATGAGAGAAATTTTGTTGGTAAGGAATACCTAACAAATGTATTGAATAGATAGAAAAAGACCTAGGTGACCCAAGAATAAGTCGAGGTGGTGCAGAACCGAGGCAATTAAAAAGTATTGTCGAAGAATCACTTTGGGTACGCCACGCCACTCTGATTACTGACACTCTCAGAGTTTGATATCTCTAACTCGACGACACTAAGTTAAGCGGGTAGTTAAAGTTAAGATTAGAAATAACTTGTAAATGTTTCATCACACTACATATTTTATTAAAGAACTGATAAGGAAGATCCTCTACGAAGAAATACCTGCCTTAGACGAAACTAAGCCTATATCTGATCAGCCTCCACAGAAAACTGCTTTCGATTTGTATAAATCCTACAGTCTGTCCAAGGAAGAGATATTGGAAAACCGTCGAGAAGAAAGAGACAAGAAAAAGGTGAAATAATAAGTTAATATAGGACTTATCTTAAAATGTCATTTATTCACTCTCTTACAGTCTCTGAAAAAACTTAGTAACGATTGCTAGGTTGACAGTGTGCCAGTGCTAATAAACGATTTCTGTTAAGTTCCTTCCTTTGTAGCAAATCGTATAGAAATGTCGATTCTTAAGAGCCAACATATGTCTAAATTAATATTATTCTTACACTCAAAATTCAAACATAATGCTCATTTTAAGGCCCAGGCCAGAGAAAGTCGTGCGCGACGTTTATCTGAGATGCAGCGAATGGCGCGCCAAGCTATAGAAGAAGCCATTGAGGCTAAGCGAGTGGAAAGGGAAGCAAAGAAAATTGAGATTCTTAAAGCTGGTGTATGTATGACAAATTTGAAGGGGATTTTTATTGAAAGGGCTTATAGAATGCTGCGTCTTAGACTCTTAGACTCTTTTAAATGTATGCTACAGACGTAGGATGTGCGTCCTCGTCGGCATCTAAAAAAGTATTGATCAATAAAATTGACTAATTTCGTGGCACGTGTGTCTACCTGTTCTCTAGCGGTTGTTTAATGTTAATTATTTGTCAATGAAGAATCTCTTGAATTTAGAATATGTTAAAAATATTCCTTATCGACTTTCTTACATTATTTCTTATTATAGAATAAGTCTTTGTCTAAATTTGAATCTTACACATAAGTACACTGCACGAATCTTTTTATTTTTACTTTACAGAATCTGACAGCGCTTGAAGAATTCGAACGAAATTCTTTGGATACAGAAGTGGATATTTTAATACCGGAGGTATATTTCAATAATCAATAAATAATAAATCTTAATTCTTATTAATATTATACATTCTAAAGTTTAGATGAATGGATATTTGTTAGAGTTTGTAGCCTAACTGTTGAATGGATCTCGATGAAATTTGGCATAGAGGTTAGTCTGGAAGAACACATAGGCTACTTACTTTAGTTTGTTTTGTGATTCTACGCGAATAGAGTCGCGGGCAAAAGCTAGTATAATATATAAGGCTTAGTTTCATTATGTTTTTTTTATAGAATTTATCAGATGAAGAATTGGGAGCTAGTAGTGAGGAAGATGACGAAGAATATTTTCCACCAGCTGGTCTTCTAATACCAGGATTTTATGCTCCGCCCAATGAGATAGCTAAAGTCAACGGATTGGGAGTCCTATTTCCAAAAGTGAGAAAGTTACACGAATCTGTAGTGTAGTAGTACTTGTATTATACGAAACTTCAAAGGCAAGACGCTGCGCTAAGCCATAAAGAACCAGAATTAGGAAGAATTTTGTTAGGTACACTCGCGGAAATTCACGGTATTCCAAATGAGAATAAAATGCCTTGTTCATAGCAACAAGACAAACTCCGCCACTTCCTACATACCACTAACTAGATAACAGTGAATGGTGCAAACGTAGGGACGATAATCAAAAAATCTATTTATTTATTAGCTGCGTTCTATTGTTTTTGTTCCGCGTCTCCTTTAATATTCAAATGATTATAGCTTTCAAGGCGGTACACCCCAAGTTTCCACGACTGTACCTTCAGTGCTCGGCGATATACGAGTAATGTCTGGTAATCATAAAATCACTCAAAAATTTGTAGAAATATGTTTAAAACACACTTTTAATTGTTTTAAAGCGTATGGAAATTGGTCTAATTAAAGCAAATTATAAAATGAGTAATACATTGATTGTTGCAGATTGTTTTAGAAAGTGTAACCCCTCAGCCAGAGTTTCTTCCACCGCACGTACTGGTGTTACTTGACATGACGAAGAGGTTTAAAACTGTGGAGATACTGGCTAAGCATAAAAACTCTGTTATACATGTAATTTTTTTTTATAACGAGTAGTATGTAATGTAGTAACTACTTATGGGTTAAATGGTCATTAGTATACAATAAGTATCGTTCCTTTTTTTTTGCTAAAGCTAATAGGTTTGTACAATAGTAGTAGAAGAATCAAAGAAGAACTCTCATGGCGAGAGAGAGTGAGGTAAAGACAAAAAAGTGCAAGAAAGAGACAGATAGTGAGAAATTTTAAACGAACTTGTGGAAGGAAATAGACCTTTTAAATTTGATGAATAATTTCAGATGGGGATATTTCAAATGACCGATATACCATTTTCTGATAGCATACACGTTGCTTATAGTGTGAAGCAGTTTGAGTCTCGTAAAGTAACAATTAATTTGTAAGTATTTGTTCCAGTACTCAATAAATCTTATTAAACGATAGGATAAGCTTGAAAACGTTCTACTGATGATACATAAAGTTTGATGTATTACACAATTTTTGTTTCAATGGTTATCTCTATCTACAATAATCATACTAATATTATAAATGCGAAAGTTTAGATGGATGGATGTTTGATAGAGTTTGTACCCTAAGCGGCTGAACGGATATCTTTGAAACTTAGTATAGATGTAGGGGATAGTCTGGAAGAGCATATTTTGTTTTTTAACTGTACGCGGACGGATTCGCGGGCGAAAGTTAGTACCTAATATTATAAATGCGAAAGTTTAGATGGATGGATGGTTTGTTAGAGTTTGTAGCCTTAATTACTAAACGGAATTAGATGAAATTAGGTTCAAATGTAGAGGATAGTCTGGAAGAAGATATAGGCTACTCACTTTTGTTTTTATTAATTCGCCGCGGTTGGAGTCGCGAGCGAAAGCTAGTAGATTGTAAACAAACTACGTCTGATTTTAACAGTAAATTACGATATGAACATAACTGAATTTATTGCAGAGACAACTTGAAACTAGCAGTGATGTTATCGGTACAAATAGACCTGCCTCTCTTGGGTCTGATGGACTTGAGTCCTAGTCACGTGAGTCGCGACACGACTGCGGGAGAGAGGGAATGCGCCGCCATCTTTCCTGTGGACTACGGTGATGATTACCCAGAATTTGAAGACTTCAATTAGCTTTATTATGGAAAAAATTATTGTGCATGCGACTTACATCAACAGGTTTCGAAAAATTATATCAACTTGATTAAAAAAACACAAATTAAAACTTTTATTTTATTGAAAAAAATGAAAATTGAATTGAAATATTTGAAAATACAAGTCTTAAAAGTAACAAACGTTATACACGTTAAACACTGGATACAATCTTAATAAGTTTTTCAAAACAAATAAGTAAACTAAACCATGTTAGCTCGCGTGCCATCTTGTTTGTCTGCCTCGTTCAGAACGGAACGCCAAATATATTTTCTTAAAAAGGAAGTCTGTTCCCTGACAGCTTCCAATATTTTTTGACTCGTCAATAGAAGCCTTTCATCCATTATCATATGCTCGTCATCGTCTCCAGTCTTGGATTTTCGGTAAAGGTTTTTAGGACCCGCAATACAAGGTATACCATTAAACGTATTTTCATCCATTGGCGAATTTATAACAGCCGGATGCATTTTCGAAAAACCGTTATTGTAATCAGTCAGTACATTTGACAACCAATCGCATGACAAATTATTTCCATCAATGTAAACTATAAGATCTGTTTTGTGATTGAGCCAAGCTTTACTTTCCAGACTGTACATATGATTGTATCTGAGTGAGAGGAATTTGAGGTACTTCAGATCGAGTAAAACCGCTGAGTCGAGTGAAGCAATTTGATTAAATGAAAGGTCGAGATTCACCAGAGACGTCAGTCCACGAAACACTCCATGATTGATGTTTTTCAAATTATTGTGGGATAATCTCAAAGTATGCAAATGTTGTACACAATAGAAAGACGATGGGTTGATAGTTTCGATTTGATTTGAGCTTAAATCTAGATTAGTAAGCGTGATCGGTAATTGTAGTGACTTTTCGTTTAAATCTGAGATTAAGTTTTTGCTCATATCCAGCTTAAGAAGAGCGTGATGATATCTTAACTTTACCTGCGACGGATCATTGATTTTATTGGAACGTAGAATCAATTCAATAAGGCCGTCAGCTTCTCCGGGGGCTAATACAAAAGTGTATAAATCATTGCTGGACAAATCTAATATTCCTCCTTCAGTATGGAAATTAATATGGAAATTTGCCACTTCTTGTATATCATTTTGGGTAAAATTTAAACTTTTTAATTTATTGGCATACATAAGACTTTTGGTAGGAAGATTTTCAAAACGATTGTTTGATAAATCTAGATTCTGTAAGTTATTCATGCGCGAAAATGTTTGGAAATCCAATCTAGTTATGAAATTGCCGCTTATATTGAGGAATTTAACGTTTGCTAGGTGCTCACTATTGACTAAGAAAGTGTTTAAATTGTTGTTTGAAACATCAAGAGATACTAAATTTATAATATATTGGAAGGCATTGTACTCAATGATGCTTATATTGTTATTAGATAAATCAATTTGAGTCGTAACATCTACCAATCCCTTCTTTATCTTAGGCATAATGTGTTCTTCAGAAGTAGCATTTCGAATAATCGTTAACTGATTTCCTGCATAAATGATTCTGCAAACAATATGCCCTTCGAAATGGGCCCAATGTTTGACAAATAATTTTGGAAAGTAATGTAACTCGTTATTTGACAAATCGATTGTTTCCAAATGGTACATTGTCTTGTCCAATGTTGCCTGATCGACTTCAGCAATATCATTGTCATTGAGGAATAAATGTTTCAAATTTAAAAGATTCTTATTAATAGCGCCATTTAAATATTTTATATTATTATCGTTAAGTCTAAGTATCCGCAGACTTGACAGGTTATTGAATGGTTCTTCCTTTAAGTCTACAATTAGATTGTGTGATAGATCGAGTTCTATTAGACTGACAAGCTCTTGAAAGACGAAACCGGTTACATCGCTGATTTCATTATAAGAGAGGTAAAGTTTCAATAATCTATTTGAATCCGCAAAAACAAATAAATCATCGATTTCACATAATCGATTATGTGATAAGTCGAGAGTATCTAAACGGCTTAGATATTGGAAGGGTTGACCGTCAATTTGCTTCATATCCAAGTTGGGGAGTCGCAAATTTCTTAACTTTAACGTGTACTCTAAGAAGGAGAGGTTGGTCTGCGGCCATGAACCGATTACTGTTAGTGAAGTTATACTTATAAGAAAATCTGTATCAGTTACATCAACGTTAATGTTTTGGTCGACGTTTGTAAGAGTGAGGTCGACAATGACATCGATATTCATGGAACCTTGACATTCCTGGTCGAGTGCAGCGCCTTTTATTGTGTTATAGCATTTCATTTTATATATGCAATAACCAAGTCGGTGGACATCCTGCTTGGGGCAGTTGCTAGCAGCTAGTGAAGCTGACAGCAACAAGAGCAGACACTTCGCAACTGAAAGGTAGAAAAACAGATCATTATTCTGATTGCAATTAAAAATGATACATGGCTTTAAAAAGAAACACAGATCAACAACAATTGTAATGTCTATATTCTTAGAGCGTGCGCACATCTGAAACTAAACTGTCGCACAACTGTTTAGTAACGCTTTGATTCCTATGAGCTTATATGGAGGTACGCAAACTACTCGAATTTTAGTTTTGGAAATAAACAGTTAAATTGGATGCGAAACAATCGATAATCGCACAACGCTCTCTGTCTGTCTGTCTCTATCTATGCTTCATCGCATCATAATCATCATCACCAGCTCACTATATGTCCCCACCGAGGGGCTGGGAGCCTACCCTAATAAGGGGTGTCTAGGCCATAGCCAACCATGCTGGCCAAGTGCGGGTTGCTTGACTTTACAGATATCTTTAAATTTCTTAGCCGACATGTGCAGGTTGCGTCACGATGTTTTTCTTCACCGTAAGGACGTCGGGTGAATTATGTACATATGAAAATTCGAAAAATCATAAATCACATTGGCACATGGGGGGATTCGAATCCAAGACCTGTAGATTACAAGTCAAGTGCTTAAATCACTGAGTCACCGATACTCAAGCCGAGCTGAAGCCGAGTGTTTTTATTTATAACATACGGTGGCAAACGAGCAAGCCACCTGAATCCGCCAAAATGGCGAAGCGAACGCTGCCCAAAGACATCCGTAATTGCAGATGCGTTGCCTACCCTTATCCGTCAAATCCACTTCCCCTTCCCATCCTTTTCTTATAAGAAAAGGTTGGTAAAGAGAAAGGTACTTAAATTAGGCCTCCGGCACCACACTTATCAGACGAAACGCGGAATTGCTTCCATTTCACGCCTGTCTTCTATACCTTCTTATACCGGGCGTGCCGGCCCATTCGTGCTAAGATGTTAAAGCGGACACTACCACTGTTAATGTGTGATGCTCTTAATCTTTTACTGTACATCGGTCAGGTTGTAAATGTTATTATGAAATATCAGGTACATACTTACCAAGAAACATTCTTAGGCTGATAACGGGACACCTTCTAGTGAATTCTGAAACGAAAAATTGCTCAAATAAGCATCATAAGACAATAATTCTTCGAGATGTCTAAATACGTAACTAACATTCGATCACTTGATAAACAAGGGTAAAAGTACATTTTAATAAGTGTTATAGTTAAAATTAGCTTTCGCCCGCGACTCCGTCTATGTGGTATTTTAAAAAACAAAAGTATGTGTATG